GTCCCGGAGGAGCGCGTGGGGTGCGAGTCCCGGAGGAGCGCGTGGGGATTGAGTCCCGGAGCATTGTGTGGGGACCGAGTCCCGGACCAGCGCGTGGGAAGCGAGTCCCGGAGCATTGTTTGGGGACCATGTCCCAGAGCATTGTGTGGGGAGCGAGTTCCAGAGCAGCGCGTGGGAAGCGAGTCCCAGATCAGCGCGTGGGAAGTGGGTCCTGGAGCATTGTGTGGGAAGCGAGTTCCGGCGCATTGTGTGGGGAGCGAGTCCCGGAGCATTGTGTGGGAAGTGAGTCCCGGAGCATTGTGTGGGAAGCGAGTCCCGGAGCATTGTGTGGGGAGCGAGTCCCGGAGCACTGTGCGGGGTGCGAGTCCTGGAGGAACGCGTGGGAAGTGAGTTCCGGAGCAGCGCATGGGAAGCGAGTCCCGGAGCAGCGCATGGGAAGCGAGTCCTGGAGCATTGTGTGGGGATCGAGTCCTGGAGCATTGTGTGGGGAGCGAGTCCCGGAGCAGCGCGTGGGAAGCGAGTTCCGGAGCAGCACGTGGGAAGCGAGTCCCGGAGCAGCGCGCGGGGAACGAGTCCCGGAGCAGCGCGCGGGGAACGAGTCCCATAGCATTGTGTGGGGAGCGAATCCCGGAGCAGTACGTGGGAAGCGAGTCCCGGAGCAGCGCCTGGGAAGCGAGTCCCGGAGCATTGTGTGGGGAGCGAGTACCGGAGCAGCGCGTGGGAAGCGAGTCCAGGAGCAGCGCGTGGGAAGCGAGTCCCGGAGCAGTGTGTGTGAAACGAGTCCTGGAGCATTGTGTGGGAAGCAAGGCCCGGAGCATTGTGTTGGGAGCAGGCCCCAGAGCAGCGTGCAGGGAGCGAGTCCTGGATCAGCGCGTGGGGAGCGAGTCCCAGAGCAGCGTGTAGAGAGCAAGTCCTGGATCAGCGCGTGGGGAACTGCGTGGGCAGTCAGTCTCTGGTGGAGGCTGGCAGAGGGGAGGCAGTCCTGGAACTTACCTCAGAACAGCTGAGTGCTGGTATGGAGCGGACTGGAGGCTTGGAGCAGAGTGGGGATGGCTATTGTCTGGGTCTGGCACGGCCTGGTCAGATCAGGTGTGCAGGCCGTGTGCTGAGCTGCTACAATGTAATGTTTATTTGAAACTTTTTGTCTGACTGTAATGTCAATCCTTTAATGATGTCTTGTTTCTAACTTACTGTTTCAAACTCTGTAAAGTAATGCAACTATTTTTTATTCTTCTTTTGTATCCAAGATTTGTACCTGGGAACTTGTACCTAAGATGGAGCCATAAGAAGCAGACATTGTAAAAGCTTTTCACTGTATTTCTATGATGGAGTACGCGTGACAATAACAGGATATTCTGATTCGGATTCTAAAGGATATTCTGATTAAGAAACCTCTGGAAATCTAAGGTCAGTATATCTACTGATTTCGTCTATCCATGGCACACATTACCTCCTCAAAGAACTCCAGTGGATTGTCCAAACATGATTTTCATTTCAGAAAACCATGTTGACTTTGCATGTAAATTGGTTAAAAAGCATTTGAGGAGTGCTAAAAAACCAAGGCAATGGAATCCTGGGCAGATAAAAGGGCCAAAGTAAACTAAAACAAAAAGCACAAAATAATTTTGATGGTGTGAGTATTTTTACCTGTCTCCAAGTCTCTAAAATCAAAAAGAAACTCCGTGGTGTGAATTGTGTCGTGAGCTCGCCAGATAGAAGTAAAAATCAGCACTGTGTGTCATGTCAATATGTTAAAGTGATACAATTTCAGAGAGAATTGTCTTAACAGAATGTATTTGCAGTGCTGAAAGAAAGAACAATTGAAATAAAGATATCAGAATGATTTGAGTGTAAAATAGAAATTATAAACTCAAAAGTTAACCCTTCAATAATCATATTGGAAAAGAATGAGGTGCTTAAAAATACATGAAATATTATGTCGAAATTTGTTGATATGGTTTACGAAAACTATAACAGATTCATAAATCAATTTGTGTGAATAGGCCAGAAAAAAACAGCCCATCAGTAATATCTGTACTGGGGATGCATTACCCATAAACAACATCCTTACAGATGCAATCCAGAGAAATTAGTTCAAATGAAGGAAGAAATTAAATTCATGATGAAAGTTATTGAATCAAATCATAGTAGCTGGAAGTATCAATTGTGATGATGGCTAAAGCCAGCTGAATCATAAAGACTGTAAATTAATTATCACAAAACAACACAGTAACTAAGGCACATTCAAATCAGTTTCCTGTTTTGGAGGTGGACATAATTGGGCAAGCACAATTTGTCACAAAAATTGACTTATTAAAAGGTTATTGGCAAGGACCATTGACTGATACAGCCAAAGAAATATCAGCTTTATGCTACACCAGACAGACTTACTCGATGAAAAGCCAAGCTATTTGAAATGAAAAACACATCAGAAACTTCTCTACGATCAGGCAACTAGATTTGAGAAGGATTATGGAACTGTCATGTATATATTAATGATTTGCTTGTGTTCACCCAAATTTGTGAATAACATTTACTTGAGTAAACAGTTTGATCAGTTACATCAGTATGGTCATAAATTTGGTTAAAAGTGAAATTGCCAAAGTGAAGTGACTTATTTGGGCTACAAAACAAACAAGCTCATCGAAAAGCAAAAATTAATAGTTTCTTGGATTTTCCTGCATTTATAAAAAAAACATGAAATTCTGAGATATGTTGGCATCAATGCACTTAATTGGAAGCTTATTCTGAATTCCTGGCCCACAATGGTTTAATTGATGAAAGGCAATAAATTGGAATAGATTATAGAAAGTCAGTGTGTATTTGACAAGTTATGAGAAGCTATTTGCACTGGTCATTGTAGCCAATTACCTCAGCATTGGTGCACTGTTGTTAGAGAAAGTCGATATGGGGCTCAAAGACCATTCAATAATTTTTCTTGGAAATGAAATGCATGTTAACAGTTATAATCGATGATGAAGAATGAAGAGACTGAGTTTGGTAACAGCTCCAAAACCACTTTGAAATTTACAAATCTCACAACTCAGCAGAGACTGTGACTTATGCAGACCACAATCCCTTGATAGTTTTCAAGAGATTATATGACAGAAAGCTACAGTTGTTTCATTGGAGTTTAATGCTGCAACCACAGAGTATGAAATTCATTCATGTTTCTAGCTTTGTCATGAGCAAATATAGAGTGATACAAATTCTGTGATTAAAGTGGACTTGTATAGAAAATATTTGTTATGAAAAGCATTTTATGTTTGATTGAAATATATTATCACTGTCAATGTAAAATAGAAATAGTGATAAGAAAATTTGATAGAAAATGATAAAGGCTCTTAAGGATAACTTGTCTTTTTTGCTCTGGGGGATGAGGTGTGATGAAAGTGTTTAATATTTTATCATTTGGGAATTTAGATTTTAAGTAGAAGCAATGGGTCTTGATTGCAGTTCTGTGATGATCACTTTTTAAAAAATGAGTTCAGAAAGACATTTACAAAAATAGCCTAAATACCTAACTTCCAGAAAAGTGTGTGCCCCAAATTAAGTCATGGCAAGATACCTGAAGATTTAATAAATAATGTATTTACAGTGCTAAATTTATGTCCTATGGAACAAAAAATATGATCAGCACCACAGGCAGTTAAAGTTGAGTTCAGGATGATCAGGCTATTCAGTGCAGAAAAATGGATTCATTTTAAGAAAAGGGCAATTTATTTTTTTGTAAAGACTTCAAGTCATGAGAGTTTGTAGAAGCCTCATGGTTATCAGGAGGAGTCCAGGTCCCCAGAACTGGTAAGATGTCTCAAGGCCAACAAAACTGGAAAGGCTAAGAAATTTATAAGTTATTATTGGAGTAGTACGTCATTGGGATTGAATATCTATAATGGATATTGGTAGGAAAATGGTTGCATTTTGCTCTTATGACAATGTTTCAAATGATTGAATCCTTTTTTAATAATTTTCATCAATGAATTAGAGGACGGAGCAAACGCATTGAGCTAAATTTACAGATGATGCAATGTTAGGTAGGAAAGCATGTTGTGAAGATGACCGAACAGGGATGCAAGCATTTCTATTGGTTAATGGAGTGGGAAAAATTCTAGCAGATGGAATATAATATGGGAAAATATTAATTTATTCACCTTGGCAGGAAGTTTGAGAAAGAACACAGTATTACTAAAATAGAGAATGACTGCAAAATTCTAGAATGTAGAACGATTTATTAGTGCATGCATCACAAAAGTCGGAGTGCAGTTGCAGCAAGTGATTAAGAATGCTAATGGAGTGCTATCCTCTAATATAGGAGGAATTGATAAGATTAGTATGTGCACTTTTAGTCTCTTTATTGAAGAAAGAATTTAAGCATGTTGAAGGCAGTTCAGAGGAAGTTTACTGTGTTGATAACTGGGATGAACAGGATGTCTGGTGAGGTACAGCTGGACAGGCTGGGCTGGTCTTCACTAGATATCAGAAGCGTGAGAAGAGACGACTGAAGTTCACAAGGTTCAAAATTGTCTCAATAAGGTGGACATAGAAAAAATGCTTCTTCTTGTGGGTGAGTCCAGTATTAGGGAGCACAGTTTTAAAATTGGGAATTTCCCTTTAAACACAGAGTTGAGGAGAACTTCTTCTCGCGGAGGGTTTGCAACTTTGGAACTCTGACTTTGGCAGGGTCTTTGAATAACTTTAAGGCAGAGGTAGATAGAGTCTTGTTAGGCAAAGAAATCAAAGGTTGTAGGGATTAGTTGGGGATGTGGAGTTCAGAACAAAGAGATAAATTATGGTCTTAATGAAAGGTACAAAAAGCTTTAAGGGCTGAAAGCCTACTGGTCCTAAGTCATATATTCATTTTGTGTCTTTTCAAATTTCCTTATACTAGTTTGTGCAATAAGCTTGTGTGCTTGTTTCAAAAGCACATTGACAGCGAGATGTGAATATCCTCAATGACAGACCACCATGGTAACCAAATTGGAAAAATTAACTTAAGATCTATCAAGCCACAAACAGGGGCAGAAAATAGTCAAAAAGGCTAATGTAATGCTGGCCTTCATATCTAAAGGACTGGAATATAGAGATGTGGACATTATGTTACAGTTAAACAAAACCCTGGTTAGACCCCACTTAGAGTACTGTGAGCAGATCTGGGCCCCATACCTTAGGAAAGATGTTTTAGCCCTGGAGGGGAGTTGTATGCAGATTTACAAGGATGCTATCTGGACTTTAGGGGTTATGCTATGAGGTGAGATTAGACAAATTAGACCTTTATTCTTTAGAATTTAGAAGATGAAGCAGTCTAATTGAGGTCTTTAGGATACTAACAGGGCAAGACAGGGTACATAAAGATAAATCATTTCCACTGTTGAAGATTCTAGAACAATGGGCATAGTCTAAGAATTAGTGCCAGGACACTCAGGAGAGATATTAGAAAGGTTTAGAAGGAGCTTTAGAACTCTCTTCCTCAAATGGTGGTTAAGACTAATTCAATTGTTAAGTTTAAATCTGAGATAGATAAATTTTTATCAAGCATCAAAGGATATAGGTCCAAGGCAGGCATATGGAGTTAGGCCACAGATCATCCATGATCTTATTGAATGGCAGAGCAGACTTGAGGGGCTGAATGGCCTAGTCCTGTTCCTATGTACTTATGACTTTCAAGAATGATATAGATATGGTTCTTTGGATCAAAGGGATCAAAGAATTTGGGGAGGAAGTGAGAATAGGGGACTGAATTGGACAATCAGCCATGATCCTAATGAATGGCAAGACAGGCTCAAAGGGCTGAATGGCCTATTCTAGTTCCTATTTTTTACATTTCCATGCCTGCTTTTAGCATCAGATGAGAAAACTGTGAAAGCAGCTTCAGGCTTAGCTACTACCCGCCTCTGATCTCAACTTCTTTGAAATTTCTGATTTCTGGAAAGAACCCTTTATTTTTCCTGCAGCATGAGCCATTTCTCAGTTAATAACTGTGATTTGACTGTACCTGAGCTTCCAGTGAAAGAGACCTTGTACACATCTAAGTGAAAGAAAATCCAATGGACCTTGACTTACAAGATTCTCTAATTCACCTGAACTAATGCTGTATCTTTGGTTTCAAGTGATTTGCAAATGTGTATCGTAGAGTCCTTACAGAGTGGAAACAGGGCATTCAGCCCAACAAGTCCACACTTCCTCCCTGAAGAGCATCCCACTCAGATTCACTTCTCTACCTTATCCCTGTAACCCTCCATTTCCCATGGCTAATCCACAAATCCCTACTACAGGCAATTTAGCATGGCCAATCCACCTAACCTGCACATCTTTAGATAGTGGGAGGAAAATGGAGCACCCAGAGGAAACCCACGCTGACACAGGGAGAATGTGCAAACTTCACACAGACAGTTGTCCAAGGATGGAATTGAGCCTGTGTCCCTGGCTGTGTGAGGCAGTAATGCTAACCACTGAGCCACCGTGCTGCCCAAATGTAATTTTGGGTTCTTTTCTCTTTCTTCCTTGGATGTGTATATGTTTGTATGTGTGTTACAAACCATCCCCCTAGGTTTTGAATGTATTAATTAATTGTGATGCATTTTTACCCTGAGAAATTTGTTGTAGGTCATTCAAAATAAAAAAAACTTTACAAACAGGATGTTGGAAAACACGCCATCACATTCTTTAAAAGGGAGAGGAAAGAATAAACAAATTAAAAATGACCTCTGTTATCGACAGGAAAGGAGGATGAGAAAATAATTCAGTTCACCTCTGCCCTTTGTCCATGGCAATGCCACAGGTTGGTGGCAGCAGTGGTATCTCAGAGCAATATACTATATAACTGCATTGCTTGAACCGGGATATTGTTGAGCCTCTTGAGGAGCTCCACTTATTCAGACAAATGGAGACTGAACCTATTTTGTGCCTCGTGGATGATGGCCAGGCTTTGGGGAATCAGGAGTCATATTACTTGCAATAGAATTCTCAATAAATGCTCTCAACTGTAGTCACAACATTTAATTCACTGTTCCAGTTCTGTTTCCAGGCAATGCAATCCCCAATATGTTGATGGTGGGGAATTCAGCAATGCAAATGTCCTCGAATGTTAAGGAGAGATGGTTAGATTCTCTCTTGTGGAGATCATCATTGGCTGGCAACTGTGTGGTGCAAATCTTTTTTCTTGGGTATGATGTTATAGGATCATTCAAAATCAGATGTGTACTCGAAGGGGAGGAATTTTCTGAATTATGGGAATTTAAAACATCTGAGATTTGGCACTAAGTCAGACAAATCTTTCAAAAAATATGCATAGGTATAATTGGCCATTTCGACTCATCATGCATTTGACGATACTATGATTCCAAAGTAATAACTCACAATTTTACCTTGAAGACATTATTCAGACCAATCCAAGTTTCAGGATCTCTTTCATTTGCTTCATGTATCAGCTGTCTAATGAAATTGTTCTGTAATTTTGAGTGTATGGAGGCAAGATGGCCACCTGGAGCAAGCTTTTGGCAGTACATCTTTAAATAAAAATAAAACAGATCATTTGTTGTTAATGTTCTGTTGTTCCAGATGGTGAAACACTGTTCCTTTAAAAGAAGAACCACAAAATATACATCCCCCTACCACATAGCCATGGTGTACAATTTGGATTTAACCCAAACTAATTGAATAGTGGAACACAGACAGTCGTTACTCAGAAACAATCCTATGGTGGCTTTAATGGCTTCAGTCTAATAGACTGAGGTTCCAGTGGCTTTAAGTATCAGCTAACTCTGCACTGGGTTTTGGTTGAATGTTCTGTAACCTATCAGATTCTACAAAATTGTCTCCAGTACAGATGTTGTATTGGGTCCTGGATTCCATCTCATTATAAAGTGATCATTTTCACATTTAACAGCTTCATTAGATCAATAGTCACTATTAATTTTGATATGTATGTATATGGTAGTGAACCCCCTTCTTAAACAATTGTAACACATATGGTGGAGATATCCCCAGAATGCTGTTAGGAAGGAATTTCAGGATGACATGTCAAGTCTGCAGTATGTAGAAGCTCTCAGACTTCATTTTGGTCTATTGGTAGTCTGTCGGAAGTGTTTGAAGTTCAAGCAGCTTCAGCTCTAGGTTTATGAGCTGGAGGCTGCTCTACAGTTACTGTGATGCATTGGGAGGGGTCAAGTTACCTGCGTTCATTGTACCGGGAGCCAGTCACACCACCTGAGGACAGGGTGCACTGAATTGTTCACAGGGTGGATGAGCAAAATGACCATGGCACAGGAAGATATTCAAGTGGCAGGAGCAACAAGGAATGTCTTAGTAGTAGATGACTGTAGAGTGAGGGTGATGGACACCATTTTCTGTAGCAAAGAGTGAGAGTCGAGAGGGTTGTGTTACCTTTCCAGTGTCAGGATTCAGGACACCTGCTCAGGGCTGTAAAGGAGTGTGTAGGTGGGGGCGAGGATTCAGTTGCCATGGTTCATGTAGGTACCAACGGCAGAGGTAAAACGAGGAAAGAGATTCTGCGTAGACTCTTCAGAAGGTTGGTGTGGACTTGATGGGCTGCCCCTGCACTGTAGAGATTTTATGATTAGACTTGGGATGTGTAATGTAACAGGGTCAGTTAATAACCTCAGAGATAAGGTACAGTGACCAAAATGTGATTGAATTTTTTTTATCCAAATAAATAATACTGCATCTAAAGCTAATGCTTTAAACCTAAATGTAACTATGTGAGTATGAAAGCTGAGCTAGCTGAAATGAACAGGCCTACTAGGCTAGAAAATAGATCAATAGAGATACAGTGGCAGACGTTTAAAGAGATATTTGAGAATACTCAGAACAAGTATATTCCTACTACAAAGTAAAATTCTGAAGGGAGGACCTACCATCCATGGTTAGCTAAAGAAGCCAAAGGGAAGGTATTAAACTGAAGGAAAAAGCAGTTAGCTGCACAAAGGTGAGTGGCAGGATAGCCAACTCATCAAAATATAAAAAATACAGAAAAGGGTTAATGAAGAGGCTGAAATTAGAGGATAAGAGGAAGCTAGCTGGAATTGTAAAAACAGTAAAAATTGTAAAAACAGAGTTTCTATAGTTATTTAAAAAAGAAAAAGTAAGTAAAGTGACTGTTTGTCTTCTAGAGGGTGAGAATGGGGAGTTATTAGTAGAAAATAAGAAAATAAGTGGATGAAAGGAACAAATATTTTGTTTCTCTCTTCACTGTAAAGGATAATAAAACATTCCAGCAATAGGGTGAAGCAGAAAGTGAAAGGGAAAGAGGAACTTAATGAGATTATGTTCACGACAGACTACTAAGCAAACCGATAAGCTCTGGGCTGACATGTCCTCGGGTCCTGAGGAACTACGTCCTAGGGGTATTAAGAAGAGATTGTGAATGAGGTAATAGATGTATTGTTAATTTTCCAAAATTTCCTAGATTTAGGAAAGTTTCCATCAGACTAGAAAGTAACAAATGCTCAAGAAGGGAGGGAAGTAAAATACAGGAAATTATAGGCCAACTAGCTTGACATTAGTCGTTGAGAAGATGTTAAGATCAATCATGAAAGAAATTATAGGTGCAGACTTAGAAAAACTCAATGTATTCAGAAGAGTCAGCACAGTTTTGTCAAAGAGAAATCACGTTTAACCACTTTATTGGAATTATTTGAAGGACAATAAAGGGGATCCTGTAGATATACTGTTCTTGAATTTCCAGAAGATAGCTAATAAGGTACCACTTCAGACATTAATACAGAAAATGAAAGTTCATGGTACAGGGTGTATCATATTAGTGTGGTTAGAAGATTGATCAGCTGACAGAAAATACTGAGCATACTTAAATGGGTCTTTAAGTGATTGGCAGGCTGTGGTGAGTGGATTCCTGCAGGGGTGAGTAGTAGGGGCTGAACCTTTTGCATTTTACATTAATGGCTTAAATAAGGGTAGTGAAGGCAGTGTAGTTACATCCATGGAGATCTAGATAGGCCGGAAAGTATGTTGTGAAAAAGACAGAAGGAAGTTGCATATAGATATAGATAGGCTAAGTGTGTTTGCAAAAGTCTAGCAGATGTAGTATAATGTGAGACAATGTAAAATAATTCATTTTGAAAGGAATACAAAAAGTAGCATAATTCTTAAACAGAGAATAGGTGAAGAATTCCAAATTTAAATGTTATTGTTAGTCACAAAAGTTTGGCAAGCAGGTACAGCACATAGTCGAGAAGGCTAATGGATGCTAACCTTTATGAGGAGAGAAATTAAGCAGAGAAGTAAGGTTGGCATCCTTCAGTTATGTAAGGCATTGGTGAGATCATATCTATAATACCGTATTCAGTTTTGGTCTCCGTATTAGAGGAAGGATGCAAATTCAGTGGAGATGGATCAGAGCAGGTTTATCAGATTGATACTTTAATGAGTGTGTTGTCTTTAGAGGATGGGTCAGACAGGCTGAGCTTGTTTCTATTAGACTTTAGAATATGTTTTTAGGGGTGACTTGATTGTATAAGATATCGAATGGTCTTGACAAGGTGGATGTGGAGCTTCCTCCTGTGGGTGAGCCCAGAACTAGGGTGTGGATGAAAGAGATGTGGGTGTGTTTTCTCTCAGAGGGTTGTTCAACTTTGGAACTTGCTACAACAGAAGGTGCTGGAGGTGGGATCACTGTATATTTTGAAGGCAGAGGTAGATGGATTTGTATCTGGCCGTGGAATCAAGAGTTATCAGGTGTATACGGGAATGTGAAATTCAAAACACAAAAGATCAACCATGATTGTATTGAATGGTGGAATAGGATCAAGAAGCCAAAAGATCTAATTCTGCTCCTCATTTATCTGTTCATATGATCTTGGCCTACTACCTTCAAAGAATTGTGCATGTATTCCCCACTGTTCTCAAACTGTTCCATCTGGTGACCATTCAGTGAAAGAACCTGGAGAAACCAATTGATGTGAAGTTCCACTTCTAAGACCAAGCCCAGATCAGGTAAATGAAGGCTTTTGAGAATGGCCAAACACTTATCTGCAGAGATCCAGTGTTGGGCTTTTAACAGGATCTGACCTTTCAATTCAGCAGATCCTTTAAACCTTCCTGCCTCCTTAGATCTGAAAAGCAGGACCTAACCCAATCCTGTCCTCACTAAACCCCTGCTCCATGCATTTTGCTGAAAGTGTCCCTGGGTGGTGATCAGGATCAGGGATTGGTGCTGATCTTACACTTTTCTAATCCTGAGACACTCAGGCGATTATCCATGGATAAATAGGGAGCCTCCTTGTCTGTGGTGTTTAATGTCATAGTTCATTGCCTTCAGGGTCTAATGTAGATTACAATGTAGATGATGTTACCTGGGTGATGGAGCACATGGAGTCCATCAGAATTGTTCACATACAAACAAGAAGTTTGTTTCATTCTCTGTGTTTGTTCATGTTTAGAAACAGTGAGGAGTAAAACCAATCATTTACAGTGGAGATTCCAGGGACATACCTCAGCAGTTATCCACGGCATCAATCTTTCGATGAATGTGTAACAATAACCACGATAAAACCAACCATGAGAACAATATTCATCGTGAAGGACATGGCTTCTTCCAAAGATCCAACTGCCTTGGGTCATTTTCTCCTGCTCACTTTTCTCCAATTCTTCATTCAGAGCAATATCAGCTGCAGTTAAAGGGAATTGGATTTATAGAAGACTAAGAGATTTCAAATGCATCTTCTGCTCCTGATACTTTAAAGAGTCTGGATGATTAACAATTTTATTGGCTTGTAGCAAAAGGATATTTTGAGAGAAAAGTAGAAAATAATGGATCAATAACTTTTTTGAAACCTTTTGTTTACAGCTCCTATTCTGATAGTAGGCTTCATTACTTCTGTTAAATCTAGAGCAGACATCAAAGTGCCAAGGCTTGGCGTGGGAAGATGAAGAGTTAAAAGTGGTGGATGAAGGACATTGCTTGCTATGGGTTATTAGAGGACATGGAGGTGGGTGAAAGTGCATATCTTGTCGCAGGGGCATGTGATACAATGGTAAGGTTGGAAAGTTATATCCTGGCATGGGAGGCATGATTAGGACCGTTAGAATTTATGTCTTAAAGTGTTCCTCCATGTGCGGTGAGCTACAAGTCCTTTAATCTGGACCTAACTCCAGGAAATTTGCTGAGGATTTGAATGTACTATTCCCACAATGCAGCCAGCTGGGTGGGAGTGTAGGCTCACAACCTGAACCAACCAGCGCTCTTAACAATCAGAAATTGCAATAATGGATTTGGGAATCCTCGAAACAGAACATGGTCTTATTTTTAAAGGATTGTCAAGGCATCCCAAATCAATGACTATACAGACCTACAAATGTTCTCCGAATGTCTTTGAATTTCCACTATATCTAATTTTCAGGAGGTAACCTGTTTAACTCTTTTTTAAATTCAAAGGGACGACCTCACATTTGTTTATGTTGAAACCCAATTGTCACTATTTTGCTCATTGTTGTAATCTTTCAATCTTTTTGTAACTCCATCTACAGCACTTACAATAACACCTATTTTTAAGTTGTTGGTAAGTCTTAATCTGTGGCTTTCTTGCCCATCCCTAAACTCTGTTGTCTGCCTCTCTGGTCAATACTTATTTCTTAATTTCTGGACTTCAACTTTAGCTAACAGTTTCTTCAGATGTATTTTATCAAATGCCTTCAGGAAGTTCATTTCCATAAAATCCATAAGCATGTGACTGTCCACCTCCATAGTCACACTTCAAACCTGCTATCAGATTTATCATGAACTATTCCCTTCAAATCCATAAGCAGATGTGGATGCTGGAAACTGAAATAAAAACAGATAATGCTCGAAATTCTCAGCCTGTCGTGCAGTATCTGTGTAACAAAAAAAAACAGACGCATTGACCTGAAAAGTTGGCTGAATCTTACCATATTTTGGCTGTGTCATTTTTGTCAAATTTTCTGGAGGGTGTCTCGCTGTGAAGCTGGGTGAGTTTTCTCACCTGTGATCTGGAGCTGTAAGTGGTAAACTGGAGTCACCAGCTAATCACTCTGACTTTAATATTGGGAATTCTCATGTATGGTTTCTATCTGTTCCGACACACAATAGGAAGCTGCATATTAATGAGATGAGATTCTGTGTCAATGAGGCTGATAATGAGCAATAACCCCTGCTAAGAGACAGCTTGTCACTCCTTTGCAAGGATCTTCTCTTGACTCCGGAACTTTATTGTAAAATACAAGTTGCTTTCGACATTGAAAAAGGCATCCCTCGACCTCTCATGCATTTCTCCCAAACTTCAAGGCACAGCCTGTGTCATTCACCATCTGGAAAAATTCCACCCTCATGATTTCTCTTTCTTGGAGGTTTGATCTGCTGAGTACTTTCAGTATTTTCTATTTTTACTTTACAAATCTAAGTTGTGTCTCTCTGATCATCTGAAAATGTTCAAGGTATTGAGTCATCTGAAGAAAAAATGGACTGGTCTATTGACCTTCTTTTGCTTTGCCATCTTCTTGAAGTAACAGAATGAGATGCATAGGTTTCCAATCTAAAGTAACACTTCCTGAATTGAGCGCTTTAGGAGATTACAGTGAGGGCAATGTTCGCACTTACTTCCATCATAACCCTGGAAAGGAAGACCATCTAATCCCAGCGGGCATTGTCAGATTTTGGTGACATTAGTTTCTTCATTATTGCAGCAAAGAGGGGCACATTGGTGAACGTTTTCATCTCATACCCATCACAATAAATACAAGGACGCCAAGTTTCAAATGATGGTAATGTCTGCTGCATAAGGAAAGGATGCTGATTCATTGGGAAGTCTGATTGGCTGATGCCAATGAAGAAAGCAAAGGCAAGCTATAGTCTCCCTCTGCTTCTAGGCCCAAGAGGTGAACAAATGCCTTTGCTCACAGGAATCGCGTCCCTGCACAAGGTGCTTCTACCAAATGTAAATGAGACATGTCACGAGCACCACAGCTTATATTAGTGTAATGAGTAGTGCAATCATACATAGGTTTGTTCAGCAGGTAAAATAAAATAAAGAACTGCGGATGCTAGAAATCTGAACCAAAAACAGAAAATGCTGGAGGAACTCAGCAGGTCTGGCACAATCTGTGGAGACAAAGCAGAGTTAAAGTTTCGAGTCCAGTGACCCTTCTTCAGAACTGAGCTTCTTTAGGGGAACCTTGCGTCTGCTGTCCTGTAAGTAAATCATACAACCGTTGCTGATAACAATAGGCTAGCTCTTCCCAGTGTTAAGAAAGAAGAACCAGAAATAACAATTGAATATTATCCTATTCTGAAGAAGCATCACTTGACTCGAAACGTTAAGTCTGTTTTTTTTCTCTACAGATGCTGCCAGACCTGCTGAGTTTCTCCAGAAAATGCTGTTTCTGTTTGTTCAGCAGGTGTTCTGTTATGGACAAACCAGAAGGTGAGTTGAATTATTCTTAAATCTCTCCTCATCAATCTGCAAACTCAAATTAATTTTTATCTTTTTCTTATTTTTCCTTTCCCTTTAGAAACGCAGAGGGTGTGTTCTCCCCTAATCCTCCGCTTATGAAAGTCCAATTTTTAGATGATCCATAGCAGACTTTCTTTCGGACTAAAATAAAAACATAATGCCTATTCCGTGCTTTGAAACCTGGAGGATGATTATCACAACACATAGACACAGACGAACAAATCAGCAAGATAGGAGAGAAAAGAAGGAGAAGAAATAGATTACATTTAAAAATAATTGAATGTTCAATTCTTGAACAATTCCTGATATTTTGACTGAATCCATAATTCTGTGACAATTGAAGGCTTGTTCCTATATGCTGGTCTTGCAGAATTACTCTGTGTGGTGTTTGGAGGCATAGCAGTACATTTGGTCAACTTTTCAGGAGAGTGTAGGATTTCTTCTGGAAGCAGGTTTTGCAGAGGCTGAGAATGAAGGCCTCCTGTAAGTGAACTATATGACTAGTGAAGTTAACAGTAGGCTAGTTCTTCCCAGGAAGGCAGACCAGAAATAACAATTGAACTTTATCCAGTCAACTGATGGTGTTCCTGGATGAATCGATTTACTTAATGAAACAGATTCTGTACTCCTGGTTCAAACTATTTTTCGTCATGTGAGTACTCAGTGGATTAGCCCTTATGACCTGTTCAGGCAAAATGAGCTTCAATGGTCTTTTTCAAATATGACTTGGCTGGGGAGACATAGGGTGGAATCATTCTAGACCCTGAATGACATGAACAATGATGAATCAGTTGGGAAAAATGGCGAGAGTGGAAAAATTAGGTTCTCGACATTGTGAAAAGAAGTTAAATTTCCTAACCAAGGCTTTAATGACAAGATGAGAATGTGAGCAGTGAAAGGTCATTTACCATTTACATCTCATTATTAACTAAGCCCACCTCATTTATATGCAAGTTACTAAGACAATGGAGAGAAACTAGACGGTGATAATTCCCAACGTGAAGGTAGCTGGTGTCTGTGGCATGCTGGCTTATTCTTCAGGCCTCCATCTTGGCTGGCGTTACCTGACATCTCAGGCCATGCTTCATGGGCAGTGACTAACTTCACAACCTTCATCCATGGAGGTTGGCCTTGGAAAAGCATCAGCCTCACAACATTACCATGGCACATGTCTGACCCACCTAGAATATAGTTCATCACTTCAAGGCTGTGGAAGTGGACCTACTCATGTGTGATCTGAGGTCCTTCAAAGGCATTCGCACTAAGAAGGCATTTCTGTAATACAGAATAAAGACATCTGCAGTCACAGAATTCCACATGCACACAACATATAGATGACCAGCTATGTCAAATACAAACTCTAGCCACAAGAAATCTTGTCTATATTGTTCATCATTACAAAGTGATGACAGTTAACTTTGTGAAGCAGAAGTGAACACAGGAAACTGTTAAACAAATACTTTCCAGCCACAATTCATGAAGACAGCCTAAGGTCTCATAGGCTGTCCAAGAATGAGGGGCTGCTTTCCTCTCACCTTGAACCGTCAGTTTGTGACAACATACTCTTCTATGGAAAGCTGCCTTTCTTCAGTGATGCAAAGAATTGGGGGGTGGGGGGCTAACAAGGTTTTAGCAATCCTACCATACCTACAATCTCCGATTGTGTTTGTGCTTATGCTTCATAATTCAGAATTCCCCGATGTCAAAGATCCATATAGAGGCATCTCATGGCCCTGTTTGTCAAATTGCTCCATGTCCTGACGTATTGAAGATTGGGCTGACCTGTCATTTATGTGTGGTGTGAATACTGACTGGTTACATTACTAAAGAGCTTGTTCTGTTTCTGATATTCCCCATATAGGATTATTGGAACCATGACTCGATCTAGATCTAGCCACAGCAGGGGTCATCGTTACAGTCGCTGTGGTGCAACAAAGACTCAGAGAAATTGAAGAGCAACAGATGCATCAGCAAGCCCAAGACCAGCAGTAACCTCCAACAGCTGCTGAACAGTCTCCACATATAGAAATCACAGCTTAACATCCCCCCTGAACACAGATGGGGTATAGAAGTCCCAAAGTGTACAGTCCTCGATGTTATTTCTTCCAAATGAGTGAGGGTCATTGCCTCTACTCACTTAGGATGTTGCATGACACCATCACAGTATTCTGCAACTGCTGGAGAGGGACCTGAGCTGAATG